AAATGCATATGCTGTATTTCAGAGAGCAATCCTAGGCAGCATACTCAAACCATCATATAGAATACAGGTTTTTTAAAAAATACAATTTAATTTTTAAATATATTAAAACAGCTAGAAGACTGACCAGTTAAGCTCCAGTCATTTTATATCAATATTAAATCCAAGACCTGTTTTATGGCAGACTTTGTAATACAAAGCTTGGCTATAGAGGAAAAAAAACCCAAAATTATTGAATAGGAAATCTGAAATAAAATTCTATTATAAGATAAGATAACCTTTATTGTCATTTTTATACTGTGGGCACAATGGCACACATCAACAATGAAATTTAGTTGCCCACTCTCAAAGTGACAAACATAAAAATCAAGGACTTGGTATATTTTTCCCCCTAGTCATATATCACTGGTTTTTATGGTAATTGTTTCGAGGAACCTAAAATAGTTGTTTCTCTGTTCTCTTAAGAAGAGACTGGACAGAAGAATGATAGGCGAACCAAAGAACTTTGTTCATATCACTCATTTTGGAGCAAAAGAGATGGCCAGCAACCCCCCACCAGTAAGTATGTCGGGGAGAGAAGCAACAAAGTGTTACCTTTGGTTTCTTTATCAATGTTTAGATATGACTTAGATATTTAGATATAATCATAGATGATTAGGGGACTGGAGGCTAAAACATATAAGGAACGGTTGCTAGAATTGGGTATGTCTAGTTTAACGAAGAGAAGGACAAGGGGGGACATGATAGCAGTATTCCAATATCTCAGGGGCTGCCATAAAGAAGAGGGAATTAAGCTATTTTCCAAAGCACCTGAAGGCAGGACAAGAAGCAACGGGTGGAAACTAATCAAGGAGAGAAGCAACCTAGAACTAAGGAGAAACTTCCTGACAGTGAGAACAATTAATCAGTGGAACAACCTGCCTCCAGAAGCAGTAAATGCTCCAACACTGGAAGTTTTTAAGAAGAGACTGGACAGCCATTTGTCCGAAATGGTGTAGGGTTTCCTGCCCGAGCAGGGGGTTGGACTAGATGACCTCCAAGGTCCCTTCCAACTTTACTACTATTATTATTATTACTATCAAGACATAGTAAACCTATGAAATGTAAGTTACTTTATTGCAGCTTCAGCATACTACTTATATCCAAAAGTAGATTGGAACTACATTAAAAATACTGAATATATGAGTAGAATAAGTGACTGATATTGGGGGTAAGGGGGACGGGATGAAAAACCATTTTTCTTACATTAACCTCTTTTAAATAATTGTGTGATGCATCCATGTTTCCAAAAACCTCACCTGGCTTAAAGGTTGCGAATTCCTTTGCAAATTTATTCTTTGAATACATTCCTGCTAACAGTTTTCTGGGTATACATTCATTAAAGGAAATGCATGGTTGTCATAAACCATTATTTATAACTAAAATGTGTAATGAAACCTATATCTGAGACTTTAGAGTTGGAGAAAATTATGTAAAAATATTAGACCCATTACTAATTACAAAAACACGCTGAAATAATTTTGAAGTGCAAAATATACTATAGTATATTAGTAGCACTAATTAGCCTTTTATAATCTTATGCTTTTTCCAGGTTGGGCATATTCAGGAACAGATGAATTCCAAAGGAGGCTACAGCAACAATTCTATGAGTTCGCAGATTTAGAAGGTGTTCAAATTACGTGTCCAAGTAATTAACCAATTTCCTCAGATAGAAAGCTGTATATTTAAGTTTATTAATTATTTGTTTACTGGTTGTTAACTGCTAAAATAACCACGTTATTCTGTGACAATCTGTACATACTGGGGATCTGATTACAAAACTATAAAGCTGTGTTAATGTTAATGGATAGCACCATGTTTGAAATCTGTGCTAAATACAGTATTTAAAGTACTACATTTAGCTACAGGTTTAATTCATGGCTCTTTCCCATCTATAAATCTTGGGATTTTAAATTCTGTGAGGATGATGAAGAAGTAAGGTTAATACTCTGTTCAGTTTTGGCTTCTATAAAACTAACACCTACAGAGAATTCTACCTATCTTGGGAAAATGGTCTTCAGTCTGACCTTGGGCATAGATTATTTAACCTGGTGTAATTTTTCTAAAAAAAAATGCTTGAGAAGACATTTAAGAACTTTAGAGCTTATTTTGATTTTCAGATTAAATAGCCCTTTGCTAACTCTCAACAAAATGAGAATAAAAGGTTTGTTTTGTTTGGCTAATATATTTTTTTCGGCTACGAGCGGGAGCCCATGCTATGCCTTAAGCTCTTCTTTGTTGTGGCAAAAACTAAATATTTGAAAGAGGGTTTGCATCACAGCCATGCTAGATGCTAAAAAGCTTTACGAATGTGTTGCCAGATAAAAGGATTGGGTGAAGAAGAAGGATGTAAGAATTGACAATACTGTATTATTGATGAGCTTTTGAAGTAGGACTGTGAGATAGGATTCTTGCTATTAGGAATTGCAGAATGTGTAAGGTGTGTGATGAAAGTCTTTTAACAGTGGTGGCTTCTGTTCTAAAATTCAAGACTTGTTATACACAGTGTTGCTTAGCTGTATTTTCTCTTCTACCATTGGAAGATGGGTGAACACTCTGAATTTACTGAGTTCTGACCCAAATGAATCCAGACACATTTGCCTGAGTCAAATTCAATCAGTTTTCTTGTACTATTAATTCTTGCCTGAAACTGTAGTCTAGTATCTGAACTATAATTTAAATAGTGGTCAAATTTTAGTTCATGAGACAAAAGGTGTTTGCAGAACAGAAGCGTTTTGCTGATGTACCCAAATGTGTATATAAGCTATCTCAAGTCCATTTCAGCTGCATGAAGTGAAACGGAGGGTTGAAGTCTTAGATTTAGTGGACCTTCTATTACTGGAAAATAAATTTGCTTTAAATAGGTGGTTGTCATTAATTTTACTCTGAAAATCAAACGAGTGCTTCAAGTTTTAAAATAGGCATTTTTAACAAGTGACCTGTCTACAGTTTTAATTAACTCGCTCTTACTAAAATGTTTGTGTGTTTGTGTGAATATTATTCAGGATAGCATATCTTCTGCAGAAAGCGTCTATACTCTTGCGATCAAGTATTTGACAGTTTTATGATGTTCATCCTTGTTCTTGACTATTAACATGTCAAACTATTGAGTGCAAAAGTCTAAGGTTTGCATTACAGACTGGAAGGTGCTGTAGCAGTCAGTGTAATACATGTGGAATTAAATAATATAGATCAGGTACTGGAGAATGAATTAAACACTTTTGAAAACCCAGTTTTGCCTTGAATTTTAAGGCTGCTTTAAAATGAGGCGCAATGCGAGCGCTGCTCCTTTGTTCTTTACCAACTGTCTCAATATTGTTTCTTATAAAGGATTCAATGTTATTGACTGAATTGCAAAATAAGCCTGAAACTGGCAAAGTGCTCTGGAGAGAATAGGACCACATGGCGAACACTACAAGGCGAGAGCCAATTGGGTTTTATTAGAATATGCCAAAAGTGGTAACTTTCCTATAAACATTGCCCCCAAAAAAGAAATTAAGCACATGCTATTTAAGCAGGTCAAGAGTTGCTCTGTTGTGGCTTAATCATTTGACCTGCACTGTGCTCTCCAGCTATCACAAGTCCCATCGGTTCCACTTGTGTCTGAATGTTATCTAACGCCTCTGAATGACTGCCTTAAATGTCATAATTTAGTCCACTCTCAGGAGCAGGCTAGTCATGTGCTCACTTCCTACAGCTGACAATTTCCTACCAAAAATAAATCCGGCAGCATGAGGTTCCTCCCTGTAGCAGCCGGGGGCCTTGTTGGGCAGTGAGTCAGGTCTTGCACAAAAGGAGAGCTGTTGTCGTTGCCTGTCAGAGCGGGCAGTGAATTCAACAACCTCCGAGTGGCAACGAGCTAAAACACTGGGCAGCCCAGCCAGCCCTTCATGGTTCAGAGATCTGAATTGCAGCCACAGTCTGGCTTTGCTTGGGGAAAGGCCAATGAAAGCATCTCTGTCGGGAGAATTAATACCGTATCTTAGACCAGAGAATGTCTAGTAACAATTCTGGGGAGCTTTAAGCGAAGATCTTGCCCAAGTGCTTCTAAGGCAGCATTGTACAGGCAGTCCTCAACTTACAATGCTTCATTTAGTGACCGTTCAAAGTTACAACGGCACTGAAAGAAGGGACTTCTGATCATTTTTCACACTTACGACGGTCACAACATCCCCGTGGTCACGTGATTTCCATCCGGATGCTTGACAACCGGTTTCCATTTATGACGGTCACAGCCTCCCGGGGTCCTTTTTGTGACTTTAGGACAAGCAAAGTCCACGAAGGAGCCAGACTCGCTTAATAACCGGGCTACTAATTAGAGAGCCGAGATGGCGCAGCAGTTAAGAGTGCCGTACTGCAGGCCACTTTAGCTGACTCTGTTCAGCAGGTCAGCGGTTCAAATCTCACCGGCTCAAGGTGGACTCAGCCTTCCATCCTTCCGGGGTAGGTAAAATGAGGACCCAGATTGTTGGGGGCGATGTAAATATATATATATATTGCTTACTGGTGTACACCGCTTAGAGAGTGCTTGCACTTAAAGCGGTATATAAAGTCTCATAAAATAAAATAAATAAACCGGGGCAGTGATTCCCTTAACCAACCGTATAACGGGGCGAAACTCACTGAACAAATGTTTCGCTTACCGACATAAACGTTGGGCTCAATGACGGTTGTAAGTCGAGGACTGCCTACGGTGTAGCATCCCTTTAGGATTCCCCCCCCCCCCAGATCCGACCTAAGGTACCATGTGGTGGATCCTTGGCAGGTTTCCTGCCCTGCAAGAGATTTGATTGATTGACTGATTGATTGATTGGCTTTCTGCTGGTGCTCAGCACCGTCGCTCAGGGTGGGCAGGAAGCCCCCGGGACCCTTTGCGGAGCGTTTTGGCCCGGGGGAAGCGCTCGCCGCCGCCGCTTCCTCCTCCTCCTCTTCCCCTCCTCCGGGCCGGCTTTTTCCGCCGGCCTCTGTGCCGCCTCTGCCCCGGAGGAAAGCCCGCCCAGAAGAGGAGGCGAAGTCCTGGCCGTGCCGAAGCGCCGGCAGCCGCCCCGGAAAAGAGACGGGCTCGGCGGAAGCGGCGGCAGCAGCAGCAGCAGCAGCAGCCGGAACCGGCGGGGAGACGGTTGACTGCGGGCCGGCGGGCCGCGGGGGCGGCGTGGAAGCCAGGCGCGGGAGGGGGCAGCATGGGGGCCGCCCGGCTGCTGCGGGCCGCGCTGTGGGCCCTGCTCCTGCCGCTGGTAAGGGCTCCGGGGGGGGGAGAGACGGGGGGCTCGGGAGGCGGAGGAACAAGGTCGCCGGGAGGGGGGCCGCGCGCCGATCGCCCCACCAAAGGCTCCCGGGTTTTCCAGCGCTGGAAGCGAAAGCTCCGGGAGCCTCTCTGCAGGGCCGGGCCCCGGCGGCTTCTCTCTCTCTCCGCCCTTTCCCCCTGGTCGGGAGACCCCTGGGTGGAAGCTCACCCCGAGCCCCGAACCGGACTAGAACTCCTGCGCACCTGGCCTCTTGAGCGTAGGACTGGGATAGGCAACCTTGGCTCTTTTATGACTCGTGGACTTCAACTCCCAGAATTCCTGAGCCAGCTATGCTATATGCTATGCTGGCTCAGGAATTCTGGGAGTTGAAGTCCACGAGTCATAAAAGAGCCAAGGTTGCCTATCCCTTGGCACAGGGCAAGGGGAGGGATCGATCCTGAGTGGCCCTCCCTGCCCCCTCCAGACCGGAGGCTTTGGGGCCCCTAGCTGGGACCCTGGGGCCGGCCAGCCGGCTGTCTGGCTGTGGCCAGGGACGGGCATGCCGCGCCTCCCCGTTGGCGGCTCTTTCCGAACGGTAAAACACCTGCCCGGTAGGCTGCTGCTGCTGCTGCTGCTGCTGCTGCTCCGGGTCTTGCTCGTCTGCGCGTGCGCGCCGGTCTCAGCCATGACACTCGGGTTTGCCCCAGGATGAGCGGGCGCTGGTTGAAGTTCAGGGAGGAGAAGAAGCAGGTCCCGGAAGTTGACAGCGTTGGGTGCTGGACTTTTGACTTTGCTTCTGCCAGCTTGGGGGAATGGGGAAGCTGTCTCTTCACGGGCTGCTGGCCCTAGACCGTTGCTTCCCTTCCCAGGTGCTGGAAAAGTGGGTCTTGATGGCCATGGGGATCTGCCCTGCCTTCTTCATTGCCCCGGCTAGGAGATGGTCAAGTGGTGGCTTCAATCAGAAATGATCAGTGATGAATGACAACAAAGCCATCTTGTGGGACACGAAGCATGGACGTGCTGTGTTGACATAAGCCGGGTCGCAGGGTTACTTTGTGCTTTTTGGTGTCCTACTCATTCTGCCTTGAGTGATACGAACAGTAGCAAGGTGGGAATATGGCAGAGGTAGGCAGGCTGCTGACTCCCAAATATTTTTGAATCCTGGTTTCTATTAGTCCTTTGAAAGGAAACCTGCGTGTGAGGCTTTCATTCTGTGCTGGAACAGACCCCTGCAGTATTGAATAGTTTGGCAAACACACGCGTGGGCTCCTAAGGAAGATTGTTTTTATAAATATGTTGTAAATAAGTGTATTATTATAAATTAAGATCTGTAGTAGAGTCTCTTGGGAGGTTGAAATCCTCGGACACTATTTTGTTTTCGAGTCCTGATGTCAAACTTTGCCCCAAGTTTCTCCTATTTGTCAACAGATGCTGGCATATATCATCTGAGAAGACCATGTGAAGGCACCTCTTATCTTGGGTACAAAGTTGTGGTGGCCTGTGTTGGTGCTGTAGGTGTAGATGTGGGGGCAAAATAGACCTCTGCCTTTACTGCAGGGTCTCCAGGTTGGCATCGTTGTTTCCTTGTGGCTTGTGAAAGTCTGCTTCAGGTTCAGTGGTTTTCTGTAATCAGTTACGGGCTTGCCACCCAGTGCCTGAGAAAGTATAATGTAGATTGTCCAGTGTGGGCTGTAGATTGTACTTGAATGATTTGAGTTGTGAGCTCTAGTCTAGGTGACAACTGGTGGGGTTTCTGTTTTTGTGGTCTTTTAGTAGGTCTGTTTTGGGAATCGATCTGACTCTTATTGATTTATCAGTTCGTTTCATTGGTGGGTATTTCAGTCTCTCGAATGCCTGGCTTAGTTCCATCCATGGAGCAGTTTGGTCTAGGACAGGGGTAGGCAACCTTAGCTCTTTTATGACTCGTGGACTTCAACTCCCAGAATCCCTGAGCCAGCCTGGCTCAGCTTGGAAACCTCTCCCTTTCCCCTCAGCATGGCTGGCTCAGGAATTCTGGGAGTTCATAAAAGAGCCAAGGTTGCCTACCCCTGATCTAGAGTTAAGGCACCACACTAGAAAGTAGGGAGACCGTGAGTTCTAGTCTTACTTTAGGCATGAAAGCCGGCTGGGTGACTTTGGACCAGTCACTCACTCTCAGCCCAATCCACCTCACAGGGTTGTCATTATGGAGAAAATAGAAGGTGGAAGGTGTGTTGGGTATGTTTGCTACCTTGAGTTATTTGTAAAAACAAAGGCAGGATACAAATAACAAATAAATGAATTAGAACAAATGCAGTTGTAGCCAGCATAGATTGGTGATGTTTTTTAGATAGCATGAGACTTGTGAATTGTTACACATATCTAAATGTTTTCAATTTCTATTCACAGTGCACCAAATCTTTGCAGTAGTTGACAGTTCCTGGTTTGTTTGTTTTTTTAAAAAGCAAAATTAACAGACACAAGCTTGCCCCATAACATTTTTCTAGAGGTTTAATAGCTGCTTACCCAGTATTGTGGCCATGAGTAAGTGGATAGTCCTTAAACAACAACATACAATCAGGAGAACTAAATTTACAGGGTGTTTCATTCATCAGCTTTGATGCCAGGAAAAAAGGAGTTAGGATACAGAGTATTGCAAACTGCATAAACAAAGCTCCAGCCGTCATTTCATAGTCAAGTCACTAAGTTTCTCTGAATTGCTTGAATATCTTTCCCTTTAATGTAATGGTTAAAATAATGTATAATAATCACATCTTAATAGGCAACAACTTTGGGCTAACCTAATCTGGACTCAGAAAGTAAAATGGTCAGGTTAATAAATTAGAGTAAGATATTGGAGCTATAGTCCAGAACCCAGAAAACAGAAGCAAACTTTGTGTCCCTGAGAATCATCATAAGTCAAGCTCAGTTTCAAGGATGGACAGAAAAAACAGGCTGACATGTGGTTAAATCCCTCTGAGTCACTCTCGGGATTCTGTTGACTCAGCCAATCAGCATCTGATCTCTGAAGGGTGTTTTTGATTACATATTTCCAAGGCAGTGAACAACAGGAACAGATCAACAAAATGGACATTACATTATTAGTAAACAGTGAAGTGGTAACAGCAACAAAATTTACAGAAATGGTTAATTCTAAATTTTTCTGGATGAAGAACGATCCCAGTTAAAGTTAAGTTAAATCCTGGGCCATCCATTAAATGGTTTTGCAACTTTTGCTTAATCTTAAAATTAGTTAAGGGAAATCACATCGTGTGAAAATGTCAAGCAGTTCAGCCTACAATCTTGTTGAATTCTTCGAATGAAAGTGTTTGAAGAATTGAAAGATTATTATTTTTTGGGCAGTTTTAATTTTGGCTGAGAAAGGGTTTGAGAAACTCAAAAACCCAAAACTGTTGCAGAGTTTTGGTTGGCTTAACAAAGAATGACTTGTATTATAATAATAATAATAATAATTGAGTTCATTGCATAAATCAGTTTTGGAACGGAGGTGGTCTTGTTGAAGTCAGCTTTCTTAGTTCCAACCTTAAACAATACTCCATTTTTTAAAGTCTGTGAGATGTATTGATTGCCTTGTGTGATTCTTGTTAGTTCATAACAATTAGTAATAGTAATAGTAGTAAAGTTGGAAGGGACCTCGGAGGTCATCTAGTCCAACCCCCTGCTCAGGCAGGAAACCCTATACCATTTCGGACAAATGGCTGTCCAGTCTCTTCTTAAAAACTTCCAGGGTTGGAGCATTTACTGCTTCTGGAGGCAGGCTGTTCCACTGATTAATTGTTCTCGCTGTCAGGAAGTTTCTCCTTAGTTCTAGGTTGCTTCTCTCCTTGGTTAATTTCCACCCGTTGCTTCTTGTCCTGCCTTCAGGTGCTTTGGAGAATAGCTTGACTCCCTCTTCTTTGGGGCAGCCCCTGAGATATTGGAAGGCTGCTATCATGTCCCCCCTCGTCCTTCTCTTTGTTAAACTAGACAGACCCAATTCTAGCAACAATTACAAAATATAACAATAATACTTTTTAAATCTGTTTTTTTTCTTTTTCTAATAATAGATAAGTGCCCAGGGAGGGGTTCTGCATGCAGTTCAAATTGACAGTCCCTATTTAACAAAGGATTATTGCATCTATTACAATTCTACCTGGACGTCCCTTCCTGATAGTTTATCTACCATTGTAAGTATTTATACACTGTTAAGAACTGAATGAATTTCAGGTGGGGACTGTTGTCAAGTTTCACACATTGTGCCAAGCTGTCTTTATTTTTCTTTAACCCATTGTGACTGGATCGATGTGTAATACTAAGCCACAAGGCCGGGATTCCTACATTACTTGTTTATTTTATTAAGCAAATTTATATAGCTGCCCAACTCACACTTTGATGACTCCGGCCAGTTTATAAATTTTTTAAAAATCTCCCATATAATAAAAAACTTTTTAAAAAAGAACATCTCCCACTCTCTATGGCAGCAACTACAGAATCAAACCAGCCATTTGACTGTCTCTTATTTCCATTTGTGGTCCCACCCTCCTAATAAAACCATGTTTTCAGGGGCTTTCAGACAAAACAACAGGGTGGGGTCCAACCGTAGCTTAACAGGAAGGATGTTCCATAAAGACCCTGGAGAAGGCCTTTTTTGTTGTCACACCAGGATTACATGCTTAATTGACAGGACCTGTAACATGCCCTGTCTTCCTGTCCTGGTGGTTGGGTGACTCTAATAGGGGAGAGGCCATCCATCAAATAGCCTAGTCCCCAACCATGTAGGGCAGGGGTGTCAGCTGGCCCATGGGTCGGATGCGCCACGCCGAAATAGGGAAAAAGTTCCAATACGTCACGCAACGTCACGTGACATTGCGAGTTTGACATGTCTGATGTAGAGCTTTAAAGGTGATAACCAGGACCTTGAATTATGATAAGCAATAAGCCAGCAAATCATGTTAGTATAATGTAGGAACATAGTCAGAAGCATTTGGCATCCCTTTAAAAGATCTCATTGGCCAAACTACAGTGTGGTATAGTAGAATTGTAAGGAAACAACGCAGGTAAGTCTGGATTCATACATGTAGTAGAAGGATGTGGGAGTGAAATATTTGAAAGTGATAAGATTGGGCTGGGTGTAGGGACGCTGGGAATACCATCCTTGTTACGTTTCTGTAAGCAGAAAGCTAGCACCGTAGGAAAATGTTGGATTTCAGTTTTACTTGCCTTTCAGATGCAAAGGCAGAAAGTCAGTTCAGGAAACAGGGACACTCAGATAGGACCTGGCTGCAGCTCTTTAAAGCAGCTGCGTCTTTCCCCAGAAACAGTTGCCCTGCACAGCTCTAGCCTCAGAGACCTTTGGAAAAGAGTATGTCCTCTTTGCATTCTCACAAAACGCATTTACTAATCTGTGTTTCGGACCCAGGATTTTAATTCTGGTTCCTGTAAATAATAGGAAGTGAGAAAAAAGTTTTTTTTTTTAAAAAAAAACTGTTCCAGTTACGTTGCGGAAAATCTCTTTGCATGTTTGCTCTTTAATTTTTGGTACCCTTTTTCAAATGACTTATTTTTATGGTCTTTCAGGCCTATGCAAGACTGGAGTTTTTGACCCCCAGGATGCTCTGCAGCCCATCTGAGGTTACGCAAGACATCAGGAACAAAGCAATCGTAGTGAAGAGGGGAAATTGTACTTTTCTAGAGAAGGCGGAGATTGCTCAGCGGTTCGGTGCTAAGTTACTGCTGGTGGCTAGCGAAACTTCCATTGTAAGGTCCAGTTTTTGCACAGTTGATTGCTTTCTGTCGGTCTTTTGGCACTTGGAAACTGATTTGTCCATTTTTTTCAATTGTTATTAGCAGATCCATGTGATTTGGGTCAATGTTCACTGATTATTCTAGTAGGTTAGGCCTACTAGAATCTGAATCTATGGTATCCTATGTAACTTTTAAGCAGTATGTTGTTTAAACACACTAGACCAGGTCTTTTCAACCTTTTCACCCATTGTACCACTTTTAGGATATGGCAACATCCGAGTACCACCAGTCGCCTAGCAAGGTGTCAAAAACTTGATGACCCCCCCCCCCCAAAAAAGGAAAAAAGGGATGAAGTACAGGTAGTCCTCGACTTACAACAGTTCGCTTAGTGACTGTTCGAAGTTACAATGGCACTGAAAAAAGTGCCCCCCAAGCCACAGCCGAGCAAGACACCTGCCTGCCCACCCGGTGGCGCTCTTCCTCCTGTGCGAGGTTTTCATTGTTGTGAGCATTTCTGTTGAGGATTGGCAGCAGGGGTGGGAGGGGTGTTTGGTTTTTATTCCCCCCTCCCCGTCAGCTGGATGGCTGCAGCAGGTTTTGGTCACCTCACATGACCCTGCGACACTGTGACCATCATAAATATGAATCAGTTGCCAAGCATCTGAATGCAAATCACAAGACCCTGGAGAGGCTGCAACATTCCAGCTGATCGGTGCTTCTTCTGGACTCAGCAAGATCAGCGCCAAGCTCCAGCTGGAACCTGACAGCCCTGCAGCTCCAGCCATCTCTCGCTCAGGCTTGTGTGTGCTGCCACTGGTTCAGCTCATTCCCCTCCTACCACTTTTCTAGGATGGTCGCGTACCACTTGCCAGGTGCCAATGTACCACAGGTGATACCCGTACCACTAGCTGAAAAGCCCTGCACTAGACAAATTCTACGATTTTCTTTATCTTTTATTAAGTAAAATTATCATTCCTGGATTTTCAGCTAACAGGGACCCCCTGAATGACCGTAAATTAAAAAAAAAATAGTAATCATAGGTAGTCCTTGATTTGCAACCGTTCGTTTAGGAGTTTAGTTTTCCATTTATCCAGGTAGGTTTAACTTAAGCCTCGTGGAGTCTTTTCAAGAGCTAATAAAGGCAAAGAATGAAGGCCAAATTATATATGATATATGAAAAGCCAAAATGTCTACATAATGGATAGTGGTGGAATTTAGGGGGGGGGGCTCTGTTAATAATGGTATCTAGAAAAGATGGGAGGAGCTGGGAGCCTTTTTCTTGAGAAATGTCTGTGATTTAATAAGTCTTGACTTGGGTAAGGAGAGATAAATTTATTTCCCATTTTTTTAGCGTTCTCCTGGAGGAAACAAGACCCAGAATCTGACCATTCCTATTGCGCTCGTCAGAGACACAGACATAAAGGATTTGGAACAGGTACCTCCTTTTCACCATGGCTTTTTGGGTGTGTGAGCAAGAAAAACAAATGGACTTCTGTGGGAAATTAATAGATTTTTGGTACACCCCTGAGGCTTTTTTTTTCTTGGTCTGCTTCCATCTTTAAATATTTAGTGACGCACCCCGCAGGTGGTATCTTTGTGTTATTTTGTGTTTCTGATTAATACTTTGGAGTTGCGGGTTAGTTAACTTTATTTTGAGAAGGAGTGCTTTACCAAGAAATCCTTTCTTTTGCTGATCTATCGTAGTTTGGTATTTTTCACCCCTTGGTGGGTTCCTTAAAGAGACACTGAATAAAGCAATTACATTTCCTTCCTGAAACGAGCATTATACATACCACTTCAATGAGATTTTTGCAGCATTTGTCTAGATGAGATTCTCAAGCGTCTTCTTTTATTTGCTTTTCACCCTTGTTCTCTTTGCCTCCGTTTCTGATTCCTCCTCAGAATCATAGAGGTTCTCTAGACCAGTGGTTCTCAACCTGTGGGTCGGGACCCCATTTGGGGTTGAACGACCATTTCACGGGGGTTGCCAAACAATGCAGTCCGCCATTTTTTTCCCCTTTTCCTTAGCTGTGCTACTCCTTTTTATTCTATTGGCTTTTGAAAGCCAATAGAACAGACTCTCTTGAATAGAGTCTAATTCTATTGGCTTTCAAAAGCCAATAGGAGTTGTCCAGGCTGTTTCTGCCCTGCTGAGCCCGCCAAAAGTCCCATTCTGCAAATGGTGCTGCACCAGTTGAGTAGTCCTCGATTTACGACTGATTGAGTAGTCCTCGACTTACGACCGGTTGGGGGTCGCGGCATTAAAAAGGTTGAGAACCACTGCTCTAGACTTAGCGCTAGCTTTTCTCAGGATCCTCTTGAGCAGTGTATTTCAACCTTAGCATTTTTAAAATTTGGATTTCAGCACTCAGAATGGCTGAGAACACCATACTAAGAACATCTTGATTAGTTTTCCTCTAAGTCTTTCAGCAGAGGACAATTTACCTCTAAACTTTTCTGTGTATATTATTAAATAGCCAACACTTTATTTGTAACTAAGAACCATCTCATATTTAGCTCTTTTCTCTCACGGCTTTTTGCACGTCTTCTTTATAAAGCTTGCAGAGCTCATTTTTTAATCATGTTTGTCGACTGGATTCTCTGATTCTAAGTAGGCTTAAATTGGTTGGCCAACTTTATTCAGGATGACAATGAGGGTACTGACCGCCAGGAGGTAGAGGTTTGGTGAACTGATGCAACAAAAACAGCCTCATTTTAAACGTAGGAAAAATGAAAGAGATCATTGTCAATTTCAGAAAAGGCAGGCACAGCCACACACCTCTGTGTATTAATGATTCGCCTGTGGAGGTGGTTAACAGCATCAAGTTTCTGGGTGTGCAGCTGACGAGTAGGCGAACTTGGTCACTCAACAGTGAGACACACTGATAAAGCAGGCACAGCAGCGCCTGAATTTTCTGCGTTGCATGAGAAAAGTACATCTTCTTTCCCCTGTCCTTGCCACTTTCTACAGAGGGACAGTCAAGAGCGTCTTGTCATATGGCATTACTGTCTAGTTTGGAAGCATTATTGCTTCGGACAGGAAGACGGTGCAGAGAGTGGTGAGGACAGCAGAAAAGTTTATTAGTAGTTCAGTCCCTTCTATCTAGGACAGTGATGGCGAACCTTTTAGAGACCGAGTGGCCAAAAACCACCCCATCACCCACCTCCGTCCACCCATAGGGCCACCCACTGCCTCCACAGACCGTTGCAGCAGATCACCCAGGTGGCCCTGCAGTGCCATGATGGCCACGCCCTCCATCCACACTCTGCAGCAGCATCTGCATGCGACGGGGCACGAGGGTGGAGTCTTGTCCCTGCTGCCCAGCTGCCATGTCCTTGGCTGCGTTGCTCTGCATAGTCTGCGCCTGTGGGCAACTTTCCTCCGGGGGGGACCTGCTGGTGAGGGGGCCATGGGGGGAGGCGGGGCTAGGTCGAGGGTGTGCGTGCCCACAGAGAGGGCTCCGAGTGCCACCTCTGGCACGCGTGCCATAGGTTCGCCACCACTGATCTAGGACATGGCATATAATGGCAATAAAGGTTATCTTTATGTTAACAAAGGCAAGGTGACCATGGATGGGTTATTCAGATGCAGGGACGATGTCTAATATTCAACCAAAATTTCTAACTGATGTGTTTCTAATTTTTAGAGTCTTGGAAGAAATGTTAACGTGGGACTATATTCACCACCTCAGCCATTCTTTGATTATAGTATGGTGATCATTTTCCTAATCGCGATGTTCTGTGTGTCTCTTGGAGGCTACTGGAGTGGTAGGGCAGAGCTGTGAGTTTAATTTTTACTGTAATACGAAAAACATGTCTAAAGCTGACTGTTAGCATAGAGTTGCATCCGTTGGGCTTCCATTCACCCTGCAAATTCCTTGCACGCTGTTTCAGTCCTTTTAAGTAAATGGAACAACAGAAGAATGGGTATTGCCCGGGGTTGTTTCAATCTGAGATGGGCAGCAAATAAATTTAATAAATCTGCTAGATGGGGTCCAAAAAGCTAGAGGCATTGTGATACCTATACCACCCTTGAAGTATCTGTGCAATGTGCACTATCTGTTCACACACAGCCAAGAAGTAAATATCAAAAAAAAAAAAAAGTGTCTTTGAAGAACAGAGACTGAGAGGGTGCGTTTTTCTCAAGAATTATAAGCGCACTAGGGCAAAGCTGCCCAGATAAAGAAGTTATCATCTGTGGCAATTTCCTAAGTGCTTATTTTTGTCCACCCAGTGAGAAGCTGAAACGAGGCCCCAACCCCGGAAGCAATGACTCATTATCGGACGAAGAAACGCTTACTCTAACCCCTTTGACAGTTGTCATATTTGTGTCCTTCTGCTGCATTATGCTGGTCTTGATGTATTTCTTCTACAAATGGCTCGGTAAAAAAAATACGAATTTATTTAGCCCGGGATTGGAAGGGTAAACTTGTGGCCGGATTGCTAGATCTCTATCCAAGGACTAGACAGGGTGCTGCATACCTGAAGGCCTTCGTTATTTTAAAATAAGTGCTGGAGAGATGGATTTTGGCCTCTGTTACTTCCTGAGACAGCTTTGCATGCCCAAAGTATTATGGACATTTAAAACAGCCAATCTTCCCAATGCAGTTTAGGCAGATGGTTCGTGACCCCAAAGTGCTTTTACAAGCATGTTTTGAGTAACTTGTACAACAGTCCTGCGTGGCGGCAGTTGTTACAATTCCCCTATTGTTAGGCTAGCTATAAGCCCTGGAGGGAGAAATCCATGGTTTGCCTAAATATTGTGTCTGAATGTGATACAGGATACTTCCTCAAGAAAATGGATATATGCAGCTCAAAATCAGGAAGAATAAAGGATACCTCTGTGTAGGCCAGGGGTGGGCAACCTTGGCTCTTTGATGACTCGTGGACTTCAACTCCCAAAATTCCTGAGCCAGCAACACTGAGGGGAAAGGGAGAGGTTTCCAAGCTGAGCCATGCTGGCTTAGGAATTCTGGGAGTTGAAGTCCATGAGTCATGAAGGGGCCAAGGTTGCCTACCCTTGTCCTATTCCAAACTTTTAGGCATTCGGACAGCCCTCAACTTACAACTATAATTTTATCCTGGAATTACACTCATAAGTCAAAGTGGTCGTTAAGGAGGTCACCATGTGACTGCCCCCAACTGTACGACCTATTTTGCAGTAAATGAATGCCACAGTCATTAAGCAAAGCCATTATACCCCCAGGGTGTTTTTGTTGGGAACCGAGTCATAAAAGAGCCAAGGTTGCTTAGCCCTGGGATAGGTAGTCCTTATTTAGTGACTGCCTTGGACAACGGTTCCCAATTAATGGCGGTGATGAAAAAATTAAGTTTGTGAACAATCCTCACATTTATGACCTTCGCTGTTCTGTAAAGAAAAGGAACACTGAAGTAATATCATCAGCATACTGGTGGTTTCACTTAGCGAGCACTTTGCTTAATGACTAAGTAGCCGATGTATGGTTGCTAAATGAGGACTACCTGTATCCTCTTTTATATGAATTTCTCTTTCTCTTACTGAAAGATTGATAGTCAGTTGGTTCTAGCCAGTTTGTTTGTAACCATGTCCTCTTGCTTGTTCTCCTTTCTTGTCTAGTGTATGTTGTCATTTCCATATTCTGCATAGCATCTGTTTCAAGCATGTACTGCTGTCTCTCTGCCCTATTGAAAAAAGTACCTTATGGACAATGCAGGTAAAGTGCTCTGGTTATATATGACTTTTTTAAAAAAAAGAAGGCAAAAATCATTCCTTTTGCAGATGAAAATTAAATCACGGTGACCTCTCGGTTTGGCCTCCAGCTGGTCAGTCTTTGGCTGCAGCAGATGGGTTATTTAGTGATGGATAGGGAAAGTGTATCCGCTGGCACCTTGGGGTCTTCAGATCACTTCCAGGTCCACAAGAGATAAACTGATGTGCCTGTCGGCCAATTAAAATGGCACGTTCCAGGGATCTTATGGATCCAGAAGAAACCTGATTGAGGAACGTCTGGCGGACAGGTCCACTGACTGCCTACTTAACAACTGGCAACAAGTGATCTGGGCTTTTGACCTAATAGCTCCTACGTGGCTGATCTCGGTTTGCTCCTTAACTTAACAATAGAAGAGAATTTCTGTAGCTCGGGGTTGGACTGTGGGGTCCTTGGTGCTCTCTGAGCTTGGCTGTTTTCTTGCAGACGTTTCATTGCCAATTAGGTGACTCTTCCAGCATTGATGATGTTACCTACTTGGGCAATGAAACATCTGCAAGAAAACAACCCAGCTCAGAGATCACCAAGGATCTCCTTAGTTTACAGAGGAACTTCAAGAGATTGAGAAAAACAGCTCCTGGTGGAGAAAGAGTAATTCGAGCCCAAGTAGGAGCTAAGCCAGTGGTTCTCAACCTTTTTAATGCTGCGACCCCCAAACAGGTCGTAAGTCGAGGACTACTCAACCGGTCGTAAGTCGAGGACTACTCAACTGGTGCAGCACCGTTTGCAGAATGGGACTTTTGGCGGGCTCAGCAGGGCAGAGACAGCCTGGACAATTCCTATTGGCTTTTGAAAGCCAATAGAATTAGACTCTATTCAAGAGAGTCTATTCTATTGGCTTTCAAAAGCCAAGAGAATAAAAGGGAGTAGCACAGCTAAGGAAAAGGGGGAAAAAAAGGGCGGACTGCGTTGTTTGGCGACCCCCGTGAAATGGTCGTTCGACCCCAAATGGGGTCCTGACCCACAAGTGGAGAACCACTGAGCTAAAGGGATCAGAAAGCCGACAAGGAAAAATAAATCTTGAGAAGACATTTTGCAAAGGTAGATAGGATCAACTATTAGTTTATAGAAAGATGTGAACAGAATGACTCAGAATTAGTCACGGAGCTACCTGGGGATCACAGGTATCTGCAGGCATTTATTTATTTTTTTGTTTAGTCAATGTAGAAGCCACATGCCAGGATATCTGTAGGCAGCTCACCCTTAACTTGAGGAAACAATAAAGAAAATTGTCCAGACAAATGAAACAACAAGCAACCCACTCAGGGCTCTGCAACCTCCCTATACCAAGACCTGGGAGAACTCTGTTTTTTTTTTTAAAAAAAAAAAAAAGAAAAAAATATATATAATAAAATCAATGTGGATGCTAAATAGATACCTGGGGAATCTCCACATCCACACCGACAAGGAAATAGTGACATGTGCCCTGTGACATCACAGTGCAAAGCCAGTCTCTTCGTTTTTATTTATTTATTAAATATATACGCCCGCCGTCTTCCAGTTGAAGTGAGCGTGCGCTAATATTCTTGCGCTTTGTTTCGGTATACGGTAACTTATATCTCAGGTGGAAATGGGGAAAAAAAAAAAATCCCTGAAATTTGTTGAGTGTGATACTGAATTTGCAGGGCTGCCTTTGTTGCTGGAAAATGTACACTTGCATCCCGCATTTGCCATGCTGATCTGGTGTTGTAACTGTGTTGTTTTAGGTTTCCCTGCTGGAACCGCGCCCTTGAAGTGAGACTTGTTTTCCTCTTTCTGTTTTGCATAGCACTCTCCGTTACCTGGGCTGTGTTTCGGAACGAGGAAAGGTAAGTGAAGAGTAGAGTAGAGTAGAATAGAATAGAATAGAATAGAATAGAATAGAATAGAATAGAATAGAATAGAATAGAATAGAATAGAAAATATGGAATGGAATGGAATAGAATGGAATAGAATAGAATAGAATAGAATAGAATAGAATAGAATAGAATAGAATAGAAAATATGGAATGGAATGGAATGGAATAGAATGGAATAGAATAGAATAGAATAGAATAGAATAGAATAGAATAGAATAGAATAGAAAATATGGAATGGAATAGAATAGAATAGAATAGAATAGAATAGAATAGAATAGAATAGAATAGAATAGAGCTGGAAGGGACCTTCGAGGTCTTCTAGTCCAGCCCCCCACTCAAGCAGGAGATTAAGCTTTGAGAAGCCAGCAAAAGTGAAACCGAGCAACAGATGACAGATGGAGAGACATCCCTTGTCCCTGGCTGAACCCAGACAAGTCCCAGGTGCGCCTGCATTTTATGGCCCTGTTTATACCTGGGATCCAGCACGGGCTCACCTAAAAGTTCACCATCCCCAGCCTTCTGGGGGGGGCAAGGGTGGTATCCCGAGCGCTTCTTGGGCTGTTGGGGCTGCTTGGAAGGCAGAATAATAATGATGATGATGATCATCAAAGGGGCCTTGGAGGTTATGTAGTCCAACACACTGCTTAAGCAGGAGACCCCTACAGAACAGCAGAGTTAATATAGAATAGAACAGAACAGAACAGAACAATAACTTTATTGTCACTTTGAATGTACACTAATAGGCATACATGAAAAGGAAATTTCATTGCATATAGCTCTCATGAGAGCTAGTTTGGTCTAGTGGTTAAAGCAGCAGGCTAGAAAGCAGGAGACTGTGAGTGCTAGTCCTGCCTTAGCCATGAAAGCTGGCTGCGTGACTTTGGGCCACTTACTAGGCGACCGTGAGTTCTAGTTCCACCTTAAGCATGAAAACCGACAGGGTGACTTTCGGCCAATCGCCAGGAGATCGTGGGTTCTAGTCCTGCCTTAGCCATATGAAAGCCAGTTAGGTGACTTTGGACCAAGTCCCTCTCTCTCAATCCAGCCCACCTCACAGGGTTATTGTTGTGGGGAAAATAAGAAGGTGTGTTGGCTATGTTTGCCCCCTTTCTTTGTAAAAATTATAAAGGCGGGTCCCAAATAAATAACAAAGTGAAGTGAAGAATTTTAGGTTTTTTCCATGTTGAAATAAGCACTGCTAGCGAAAAAAAATCATGTCTTCTGCTGTAGAAGAGATTCGGCAAAGAGGCACCAGAGTGTATGGGCGATTGTGCAACTGAAATCTCTCTCACACAGGTGTACCCACTAATTTGGATCTCCCACTCTCCCCTGTGGAAGTCTCTGCCAGGATAGCTCTTCCTCCCCCCCCCCTCTTTAAAACAGCTAAAATCGTGTGCATTTTTGGTATCCATGTCTGTATTTTAAATTTTCAAAGGGCTGAAAAGGGAAATTTTGTTTTAGGCCAGGAGCTCAAGCCCGTAAAATTGGCTGTTAATTCACCAGGGACAAGGATCAAGGTTTCTCTTTTTTGATAACACAGTTTTAGATGAGATGGAGGCCTTCACTTGCCCAAACCTTCTGTGTGCGTATTTATTCAGAAGCCTCAGAGGAAGCTTATCTTTTATTGAGTGTGTTGAGGATTACAGCCGAAATTTAAACAAGCATGTGCAGTGTTCTTGTTCCTGTGCTTAAACGTAATCTTTTTTTTTTTTTTTTTAATTTTAGCTGGGCTTGGATTTTACAAAATATCCTGGGAATTTCTTTCTGTCTGAACTTTATTAAAACGCTCAAAATGCCCAACTTTAAGGTACAGTAACTTATTTAGCTAAACTATATGGGCACAGTAAATAATAGAGTGAAGGAAAGGGGGTGTTTTAATTTGCCTCCAACTGTAGCCTTGCGTTTTGTCTTTAGAGCAGCTCGCGAAGATTTTCCCCATTACAGTTTGATTTCTTTGCAAAAAATTGTTAACGGAGGTGCTGGATTTCAGCTGCCCTTACACCAGTGGTTCTCAACCTTTTTAATGCCGCGACCCCCAACCGGTTGTAAGTCGAGGACTACTCCACCGGTCGTAAGTCGAGGACTACTCAACTGGTGCAGCACCGTTTGCAGAATGGGACTTTTGGCGGGCTCAGCAGGGCAGAGACAGCCTGGACAATTCCTATTGGCTTTTGAAAGCCAATAGAATTAGACTCTATTCAAGAGAGTCTATTCTATTGGCTTTCAAAAACCAATAGAATAAAAGGGAGGAGCACAGCTAAGGAAAAGGGGGAAAAAATGGCGGGACTGTGTTGTGTGGCGACCCCCGTGAAATGGTCGTTCGACCCCAAATGGGGTCCCAACCCACAGGTGGAGAACCACTGCCTTACATGGGCAGCAAGGCTGAGGAAGGAAATAGATGTCAAAGAGAGAGGGATACAATCATTGGGTTATATTGAAATAAAAAATACAGCACTTGTAAGGGCAAAAATAAAATTTCTACTGTTGACTTGAAGACCTGAACATACATTTGAAAGTGATAACAGGAATGGTTTTTTTTTTTTTTAAAAAAAGCAAAACAAAAATAGATTAATATATATTAATAGATTACAGTTTCCTTTTCTAAAAATCAATTGGCTATGTACTCTGTTTTTTTACTGAACCACAACCTTTGGGCTAAATGTAGAGTAAATCATACTTGGAGTTAACTCACTGAAAACTTTGGACAAGATAATCTTTACTGAATGCCCAGGAAAACTAGTCTGTTTATTCTGTGGCCAAAGAATTTGTATTTATGCAATGTTTATGGCCACTACTAGAAAGACCGTAGAAAAGAAAACGAATCTCAAATGTGGAATGGATGTCTTTAAGTTTGAAAGGCTTTTGCAGTACATTTTGTTTGTTTTTTTAAATAAACATCTGTTCTTTGTTCTCTAGTCATGTGTGATTCTTCTAGGTCTCCTTCTTTTATATGATGTATTTTTTGTCTTCATCACACCTTACATTACAAAAGTAAGTATGCAGATTTTATAACGATTATTTTCCTCATGCAGAGGGGATTCAATTTTTGATGTAGTGTTTTAATGAAAAATATACTCCAGTTCAGCGAACGTTTTAAGTGTACAAGTCCAACATTTTGATTTAATCTGACCCATACCTGGTGTAGAATAGGAAGACTTAAAATTATTTGTTTAACGACCGTTTGGAGTTATAACAACACTGAAAAAAACTGACTTACAACAGGTCCTCACAACCATCACAACATCTCCACAATCACATCATCAAATCATTTTGACAACTGGGATATATTTATCAGGATTGCAGCATTCCAGGATCTTGTGATCACCATTTGTGATCTTTCCAGCCAACATCTGGCAAGCAAAGTCAATGGGCAAACCTGAGATTTGGTTAAGGACCACATGATTTACTTAAGAACTCTTTTAACAACCATGGGGGGAAAAGGTCGTAAAATTGTGCGTGACTCGCTTAACAATCTCTGCTCAGCAACAGAAATGTTGGTTCCAATTGAGGTCTTAAGTCAAGGACTACCTGTAGAATATTGGCTGTTGTTCAATGCCACCAGTTGCCTTTGTGTGGCACTGTGATGCCATTAAATTAGAATAAGGTCTAGATAAAGGGAACTACATAATATCCCAGACTCTTAATTCCAGGACTTTTAAATATTCCAAACAATGTATTTCAGGTCTAGTAGTCCAATTCTCAAAACACAGAGACTAAAAGTCCATTATTTATTTATTGTATAAACATTTGCATATCTACTATATTTATCTTCTGCTTATTTTATTTTGAAATGTGTTTAGGCTTCATGTCCGTTTTGGTGTTTTGTTTATGTGTTTTAAGTGTCCTGTCCTGATGGAAATTGCATTAAATCAGCCTGGTTTGATGCTCGTTTCTAAGAAATTCATGAAATATACTTGCAGCTAGCATTTCCTATAAATCATATAGAACCCAACTGTGTTATCAAGTTTGTTCTGATTTTGCTTTTTTTAATGTCATCATCTCACGTTAATCTTTATTGGATTATGAACAATCCTGGTTCCTAATTCATTCCGTTTTATATGACTTTGCCAGGGAGTGTCCTGGCCAAACATCTACTAAAAAAAAATGCATTGAGTTTTAAATGCCTAATATTTAAGTATTTCCAGAATGAATGATTCAGCATCCATATTCTTTTTCAAATTTTCAGAGTGGAGAAAGTATCATGGTTGAAGTGGCACTCGGACCGCTTGAAAGCAGTGAAAAGGTAGGCACATTATCTTTTGAAAAACCAGTCGCTTCTGTTTTGACAGGTTGGGTTATATTATAGTATTGCACTTGTTTTTCATAAATAGGCAATCCTGGCTAAAATCATCTTAGAGACCTCTTAAACCAACGTTGCTCAGCTTGGCAACTTGAAAATGTGCGGACTTCAACTTCCAGAATTTCTGGCTGGAGAACATCTTTAAGTTGCCAAGGTTGAGAAACATTGTCTTAAACTTTTGGGGAGAGAGAAAATGAATGCAGGACTGGTCCTTTTCCTCCTCCCATGTAAAGTGTGCTTGGATATTGCCCTTAATATTCCAATATAAACTGCTTACAAAATGTAGCCATTTTTAAAAATCTTTTTTTTTCCAAGTATTAAATGCTTGTTGACTTGGGTTTGATCCTAGAATGATGGAAACTTGATGGAAGCCTCTGCTGAACAGTCAGCTCCTCATGAGAAAGTAAGGATTGTGTTTAAGATACATTCCATTGATTTTCAATGGCCTCCTTTGAAAAAAAACAAAACACAACAATATTCTTTGGGGCAGGGGAAAAAAAACACCTCGATTCTCTGTTCTCTCCATGTTAATTTCTTCAGGATTTGGATCTAAGTGTTGCCCAATCAATTTTGATCAAGCTAAAAATCTTTTCTATCGTGTCCTGGGGTGCATTTTATTAATCATTTGTCAGTGATGTCTTGTCTGCTATATAAGATGTTTCCTCTGTGGCATTTGTGTTTGATTATCCTTTTCACACTCTGCATCTTGGTTACTGTTTTCTGAATGTAGGTCCTCCATAACATGTTCTATGTGAACTAGATGAGTAAATGATTCTGATAAGATGTTATTGTTTGTGAAAAATTCCTTTGGATTGGTCTCCAGAGGTGTTAAAAACAACTGTCTTTCAGTTGCCAGTGGTTTTCAAGGTGCCCAGGTTGGACTTATCGCCAGCAGTGTTGTGTATGAGACCATTTTCATTACTTGGATTTGGTGATGTTGTTATTCCAGGTAAGCGTCTCTTTCAGTTGTGGTGTCTTCTTCACCATCCTAACATGGTGCTTGGGGCAACACAGCGAAAGAATTCTTCATATAATGACCGTGTGGGACATTTTAGGTCTATTTAAATCATCATCATCATCATCATCATCATCATCATATAAAGTCAAAATTGAGAAGACAGCAACAGACAGTAAGTGCCGCCTATGCAAAGAAGCTGAAGAAACAGTGGACCACCTGGTAAGCTGCTGCAAGAAGATCGCACAGACTGACTACAAGCAGCGGCATGACAAAGTAGCAACAATGGTGCATTGGAAGATCTGCAAGAAATATCACTTGCCTGTAAGCAAAAACTGGTGGGATCATAAAATAGAGAAAGTCATAGAAAATGATAAAATTAAACTGCTCTGGGACTTCAGAATTCAAACCGACAAGCACCTGCAACATAACATCCCGGACTTAACAATTGTCGATAAGAAAGACAAAAAAGTCTGGATGGTGGACGTGGCAGTGCCTGGAGACAGCAGAATAGACGAGAAAGAACTGGAGAAGGTAACAAAATACAAAGACCTACAAATAGAAATAGAAAGACTGTGGCAAAAGCAAGCAAGGGTAGTACCAATAGTAATAGGCACCTTGGGTGCAATCCCAAAAACAACTGGAGCACCACTTGAACACCATTGGCATTGACAAATTCGCCATTAGTCAATTGCAAAAGGCGGCCTTACTAGGAACTGCTTCCATCCTACGACAATATCTGTAATACCATCCACGTCTGCCTATCCCAGGTCCTTGGTAAGGACTCGATGGGTAGGTAAAATGCCAAATCCAGTCTGAACATCTGGCTGACTGTGCAATGATGATGATGATGATGATGATAACAATAATAATGATTACCGCCTGTAGTCCTGTTGTTTTGATGACTTTGTTTTCTTCCCGACAAAATCTCTCTGACCTGTCTTTGTTTCTTTCTTTTTTTAAGGTCTCCTGGTTGCGTACTGCAACAGATTTGATGTGCAAACCAGCTCTTCCTCTGTGTATTTCATTTTCTGCACCATAGGTAATCTATCCCAATAATTATTTTGAAAAACAGTGTTGGGAATGCCCCAGAAGGGAGATCCGATCCTACACTCTTGGCCTTTTAGGAGAAGCCTTAAAACCTGGCTCTGCCGATTGGCCTGATGGAGGCGTTCCCTGTTGTAGGTGTTTAGTGGATTAAGAGATTATTTCACCTCTACCCTGCTGTATGTTGCTCTTTCCTAGCTATCTTTGTTAGTTTTAATGATGTTGGAGAGCCACATCCCGGATGGGAGGGCTGAAGTGCAGAATACACCTGGACTCTCTATGTAAACACAAGAGAGCTGGGTCTGGCCCTCTCTGAATGCTTAAAGCAGGGATCTTCAAACTTGGCTGTTTTATGACTTGTGGACTTCAACTCCCAGAATTCCTCAGCCAGGCACGTGTGCCTGGCTGAGGAATTCTGGGAGTTGAAGTCCACAAGTCATAAAACGGCCAAGTTTGAAGACCCCCAGCTTAGGGCCTTATCTAGTAGTTTCCATATGAAAGCTGTCAGTCTGGCGAGATTCCTGTATAAGAGGCAGAAAACAATAAAGTAGTCGGCTCAAACCTTATATACGTGGGTCTGGTTGTTTGTGCCTGATGAATACTCATTATACTCATTATTTTAATGTTTTAATGTTGCCATTTTGGCTTGTTGTGTAAGCCGTCTAGAACCGCCTGATGGTGAGTTGGATCAACATACAAATTTAATAAATAAAAATAAATTACCACGCCTATCCTAAACCAAGGAGTCGAAAAATCTGCGACATTCAGTGACATTTTTTTTTAACGTTTGCCTTGTTCTGCAGCTTATGGTGTCGGCATGGTGCTCACCTTCGTGTGTCTAGTATTGATGAGGAAGGCTCAGCCAGCTCTTCTCTATTTAGTGCCCTGCACACTCATCCCTTGTGTCCTGATTGCTTTGTACCGCAAGGAGATGAAAAAATTCTGGAATGGTAACAGCTACCAGGTAAGGAGAGACTATCCAGGTACCTGTGAGTAGAAGCTGCTTGTTCTTCTTCTTTATACAGAGGGCGCAGCTTGTGAGATCCAGAGGGACCATATCTGTTGGGTTAGGATTGGCGAGTTAATAATAATTTTTATTTTACAGCCACAGACCAAAATGCAAGTGCAACAAAAGAAAACCACAAGAAAAATACAATCACAAACAGTTAACACCAGAAGCCTTGGCTAAAGGGAATTACAACCTTCTTCTCTAATAGTTACAGCTCTTAAAAGAAATTTAGAAACCTGAGAAGTAATATAGGAAGAGTCATCTCCTAGTCATCCCCTAGATTGGCGAATTCAGGGACAAGGTCGCTCTTGGTTGTGATCATTCTCTGCCCGATGTTGAGCCACTCCATGCCCTTTAGTCCAACATACCTCACAAGACGGTTGTGACTGTCAAAATAATGTTGAGGCTGGATTGCTACCCATGCTGCCTTGAGCTCTGGAGAAAAAGGGAGATAATCAGTCTAGTACAGGGGTTCTCAACCTTGGCAACTTTAAGACTTGTGGACTTCAACTCCCAGAATTCCTCAGCCAGCAAAGCAAAGCTGGCTGAGGAATTCTGGGAATTGAAGTCCACAAGTCTTAAAGTTGCCAAGGTTGAGAACCCCTGGTCTAGTAGTATGTGTGCCTTCAAGTAGTCACTCTTGACTCCTTGGGACCACCTGGAAAAGTCCCTGCAGTTCACTTGGCAACATTTTTGGAAGCCATTTTTGCTGTTGTCTTCCTCTTGGGGTCGAGAGAGGATGACTGGCTCCAAGCCGTCCAGCTGGTTTTGTGCCTATGGGAGGATTAACGCTCACAGTCTCCCTGTTCTTAGCCTGGTAACTTAATCCGCTCTCTCGTAATCTAAGAGCAAATAGAGTAAATCTTCCCAAAATGCCTTGCTGAAAGAGAATCTCTTTTGAAGGAGACAGGGCAGAAAATGGGTCTGAGAGGGTCAGAGCCAGTTTGCAATGCCCTCTGCCCCCTTCCCTCAGCCCTCTCCCACATCCACTTCCTGGCTGGGCTCTGCTTTATTTTTTGCCTGCCTACATTGCTTTTCTGTGCATCTGACTCTATTCTCCTTTTGGTTTGTGCCTCTTCTTTTCATGTCCTCGACTGCTTTGCTTCTGTGCTATCTGCCTATTGGCTTGGCTGTTCTGTAGTTTCCCCATTCCAGATGTTGCTGTTTTTTTGCCAGCACTCTACTCCCTAATCTCTGCCCAGTGGTTCTCCATCTCATTTGCCGTTCCCCAGCCTTCCTCTGCATTTGCAGCCTTCCGGAAACTCTGCTCAATCCTGTCCAATCCGTTTTCATCTTCTTCTCCAGCTCCTTACCACCTTGTGTGGTCTCTACCTCCTCCCATGCCCCACCCACTTACAGGGCACGGATGGGATCCTCAAACTGATCAACGGTGTGTATCCTTAATGTGGGTCAATTACCTAGGTATAGCGGTTAAGACCTGTGAAATCCTTCTCTTCCTATTTTCAAACAATCCGGTTAAAGACTGACAAGTTGATTCCAGTGTAAGCTTTTGTGGGTCATAGTCCATTTTGACCAAGGTCCGGGATATAATTTATATATCTGGGGCATGTGAAATCTATCCAGCTGTAGTGAATGGGTGGAGAGAAGAAAAAAGGGAAACGGTGAAAAAAAGAGGAAATAGAGACAGAATTATGTTCTGTCTTGACCCAAACCTACTCAGCAATAAGATGTGACACCAAAGACTTGAAGGCTACCTGATGATTGGTCCTGTTTTTGATATTACCATGGATATCAGAGATTTTCTTTTTAGCCTGCTTCCTGTGAACTAGTGAACTCACAGCTCTGTTCATTGATAATGGAGGATGGTGCAACTGGATGTTTACACAGTGGTCTTCTGAACCTTTATCAACTTGGGAAGCAACCATTGCTGTAGGGACCAAAGCAGTGTCGCTTAGTTCAATATGTACTTTGTGCCTCTTTCTCTGGTCTCTCATATGGGCTCAGCCGGGCCTGGGAAATTAAAGAGGAAAAGAAAATGCAACACAATGCATATTTCCAATCGGAGGTCCCCGGCCCTACTGCTTCGGTCCCACTTCTAAACTAACAACTGACTACTCGTATCTTGAATTGCAGGTTTCATTATTTAGAAGTCCTTAAGTTGCCATAGTGATAGTTTCATGTGCTTTTCTCAGCAAGCAAGGATTTAAATTGCTTTGAACTTTGGATCTTTGTGTCAGCATGACTTAGTCTGGAATGAAAATTCTAACTCACCGTATGAGAATTGGAAGGCAGTTCAAACAGGGCTCAGTTCAATGAGACCTTTAATCTAGCCGGTAAGTTCTCAGCGGCAAGACATCTTTTCATCTGGCGTGATCCTATCTACCTTGCACTTTTTCAAAGCAAAAAGTCCACACTTTTCTTTCCTGCAAGTTCAGGCTGTGTGATTCAACCAGCTATTAACATTCAGCACCAACGAGGGGAAAAACCACCAGAATTGATAAACTGTCAGGTAAACTGTCATCCAAATTTTCTGAGTGGATTCATACTTTGGAGGCAGTTCTACTTCCAAGTTACCTGCACTCAAATTAATGCTTGTTTTGCCAGAGAAGTTTTTTAAAAGGAGTGCTCCCTCCGGGGAAAACTGCGTTGTTTTGTTCTCATTGTATTTGAGATGTAAACAAGTCTTCGCTGGAAAGTGTAGTGAGCGATCTTGCGATGCCGTTTCTGAATAAATTTCCCAGCCAACCAGATTTTGGCAAAAACACCCAACGTGTTTATTAACTAAGTGGTGATTTGATGAATATAATTCCTTGTTAAATCTTTTTGGAGATCTTAAAACGGCACTGATCTTGATACTTGAACCGATATACTCCTGCCTTTTCGTTGTTGCATTCTCATTGTCCTAAATCAGTGGTTCTCAACCTTTTTAATGCCGCGACCCCCAACCGGTCGTAAGTCGAGGACTACTGAACTGGTGCAGCACCGTTTGCAGAATGGGACTTTTGGCGGGCTCAGCAGGGCAGAGACAGCCTGGACAATTCCTATTGGCTTTTGAAAGCCAATAGAATTAGACTCTATTCAAGAGAGTCTATTCTATTGGCTTTCAAAAGCCAATAGAATAAAAGGGAGTAGCACAGCTAAGGAAAAGGGGGGAAAAATGGCGGACTGCGTTGTTTGGCGACCCCCGTGAAATGGTCGTTCGACCCCAAATGGGGTCCCGACCCACAGGTGGAGAACTACTGTCCTAAATTATAGTGGCACAACGTGATGTTATTTGGAGCTTACTCTTTGGTAAGGTGACCAACTTTTTTACAACGAAAAGGAGGACACAAATAAATTGAAGAAAAAAATATCGTAAATAAAAGAAATATTTTATTCATTGCAATAATAATACAGACAACTTGCACGTGCAAAGTTTGCCGGCCGGGTGTTTTGGCGCGCTCAGCAGCAATTCCTATCGGCTTTCGAAGTAGCACAGCTCATGCAAAAGTTGAAAAAAAAACATCAAAAAAAGGTGCTGGAACGCCGTTCTGAGCTTTCTATGAGAGAAAAAAAAGCCCTGCAGATTAGTCTTCAAATATCAAAAAGGAGGACATGAAGGAGGACACTTTTCGAGGGAGGACAGAACTTAAAAAAGGAGGACTGTCCTCCCTAAAGGAGGACGGTTGGTCACCTTATCTTTGGTCCTATTTCTAGTGAGGCATGTGGCTAAATCTGAATAGAATCTTTGCGGGGTTTCCTGAAATCTGCTTTCAGATCTTTGGAACCTGTTGCACAGTTCAAGCTGAATAATCACCAGGTTTTGCCTACTTGTGTTTTTCCATCCAGCCCTTTTAGGCTAACTTAACCAGGATGATAAATGCTGAAAATGTTACAAAAATAATCTGCAATGTTATGGGCTCGGTTCTTAAATGGAAGCAGGTACACCAGATATTTTTCTCTCCCTCTGGAAACTTCCGTTCAGCTCTGCATCACAATACATTCTGCAGCTTTCATGTTTGTACGCTGCCTTAAGTACACCTGGGGTAGAAAGGCAGGGGATAAACGGAAGGAATAAGTATATTTTGTCTTTATTTTTATTTCTGCTGGTCGTGGAAAAGGATAGCGAAATCCTAGCTAGCTTCCTCTGGCCTCTTTGGAGTGTCAGGTGTTATTTCCCGACATATCTCCAGACCCGTCTTTGCCTGTCAGCCATAATGACTGTAACAGGTTCCTGGAGGCTGATTTTTACCATTCACAAATTGCACTGGATGCTTTTACAACTTGTGGCATTCACACATTCCAAACTCTGAGGTTGCTGAGCTGGCTTCCTCTCCACCCCACTCTCCGCAACAGCGTGCCTCTGTTTTTGAGTTGATGGAGCCAGCTAGCAAATAAAAATTAGCTTGAAGGTTTTAACAGTTGCCTCGTCCACTTCCCGCCTCCCCATGTTTACTTTTGGCCTGAGTTGGCAGCATGTGGTTTTTCAGTCTGCACCTGGTTTGCTTCTTGACATGGAAAGAATTGGACACCAGCGTTCTGTCCATGAACGAGATCAGTGCCACATTTGTCAGGCTGGGTCTGCTTGCCCTGTCCTTCAGCTTAGTGTAGGGGTTACGTGATTTTCTTTCTTTCCTGGATCTTTTTCTGGGTTGGGATGTTATTTTTGCAAAGAGAGCCTTCATTGCTTTTCCAGCCACATTTTTGAGAGACTTCTTGTGTCGGATGTGTTAAGGGGCAGATGTTTGGGCATTTGAATGAGTAGAACTATATTTTTCTAGCAGCATCTGCTTAGATTGGGGGGGGGGGTCAGCAAAGTGGCAACTTGTGGACTTCAACTCCCAGAATGCCTTAGCCAGCCATGTTGGCTGGGGAATTCTGGGAGTTGAAGTCCGCAAGGCTTAAAGTTAGGGGTGCTTGGTGCTCTCTGAGCTCAGTTGCAGATGTTTCATTACCCAAACTAGGTAACATCATCAGAGCTAATCATCACGAACATCAACATCCTCACCAGCGCTGATGACATTACCTAGTGTGAGTAATGAAACATCTGCAAGAAAACAACCGAGCTCAGAGAGCATCAAAGACCCCTCATTTCAATCCTGAGCTATAAATATTCTCTTTTATTAGTCTTAAACTTGCCAAATTTGGAGACCTCTGGTTTAGACGCCCAGTTTTCTGCAATAGGTGAGCTGCAGGCTACCCAAGCCTCATGTCTTGAGCCAGTTTAAGGTGAAAAATTTATCCCAGCTCTACCATGCAACAGATTCAGATTTATTTGCCGTCTGTCCCTGTTTAAGAAAGCCGTAGGAATTAACTCAGACAGGTAAGTATTTGACTCATTAAAACAGAAGCAAAGGAGGCATGTTCATCCCTCTGGTTTTCTGCTTGCATTTTTTTTTTTAAAAAAAATCACCCTCTTTGGCTTCACAGATTTTTTGGCAAAAATACATTGCAGAAAAACCCTCCCCCCTCCCCCATTAGCGTTTAGAAAATATTGATTAACTTCAAGAGAAGTAATGACTTACCTATTTGTTGGTTCTTAGCTTCCTGGGGAGTTATGCGTATTTCTTGTTTTGTTTTTTAAGTCCCCAGGTTTTTTCTCCAACACTAAGATATCAGCTGCTGATTTTGTGAGTGATGACAGCTTTCTTTCTCTCATAGTTGGATAGTAAGAGTATATATTTAGTAAGAGTGAAGATACTTTAGGAATATGTAGACCAGGTTCACGTTTGCTTACTCGTGATTTATTGACTAAATATTAATTCAAACGCTTTGCTGTGTCCCAAACTAACCCCTTTTTTTGACTCCTGCAGTTATCTGAAACCAACCATTGTGTTTTATAATTATATAATCCAATGGATGCTTCAGTTTTCTTCTTATTTCTGGCTTTAAGCAGAAATGGATTTTTGTCCTCTTCCCATGAATCAATTTGTTTTTAGAATCTCCCAGCAGTTTTTAATTATAGCTTCTCTACCATAATATAATTTTTAATGCTTTTTTAAACATTTCCATAAATGTGCTATGTGTATGAAGTACAACAAATTGTTTCTGGCTGAGAACATCTAATGTTTTCGCTCAGTTTATTTTCCAGGGATTCCTTAAAAGAAGAAGCAATCATTTTTAATTTTCAGGTGCAAATTGTTCTACTCACACTTTCCAAATATATGAATTTGTAAACTGATAGTAAAACTTTAGTGTTTGTTTTGTTGCTTCGGAACAGAGGCTCTGATTATTCACTTAGAGTTAGACAAACCTCTTTATCTTTGGTTCTGGCTGAATACCATCATATTTATTATATTATGATCCTTGTAATTGCCTAGCAGAAATACAAATCCAGCGATTTGATCACTAACATACCATTTCTTTTACACCCAGGTGATGAATTCTGCTTCTAATGAAGAAAATGCCACACAAGCCACCCAACACCATGAGGGACAATAACGCATCACCAAAAATAATGTACTATGATTTTCTACTCAAATAATAGAGACAGTTTAATTTTTAAACTGGAATATTTCATACACTTTATTATGAAAAGAATCACCTTTTTTTACACTTGCACATATATTTTTGTGAAACGTTTACTATTGATATTCTCAGAATTGCTAGAACATGTTATCTCTTGAGGTACCGAAACATATTCAATAAACCTGTGCCTTGCTTCAATTCAAAAGTTTGTGGCCTATGAGATAGATAGTATTTCTAATCAATCGTCCAATTTCCTCCTGGATCCCCAGGCTTTTCACCTAAATCTTTATTTGAAGCATTTAGGAGCAGACCCAAAGTGTCTTATCAGAGGTCCAGCTAGCAGAAAACGCCATAGGTTACTATGCAAATACAAGAAAGTAACAATGGGCAACTAAGAGTTTCATGCAACCATGTAATCCCATGAGTGCAGTTCCCAGAAGTCCAGGTTGATGCCAGTATTCTGTAGCAAAATATATATTTCATTGCATCCAATGATTGTTCCCCAAAAGAGAAGAACAGTGGCACTGAAGCCTCAACATTCCCCCTTTTTAAGCTTATAAAATCCTAAAAGAACCCAAAACCTGAAATGGTCAGCCCTGCCCTTTCCATTTTATAGCAAAGTCACTGTCACAAATCTCTTTATCTTCAGTGGCTGAAAGAAAAAAGATACACAGCGTGTGGCCTCAAAATGGGTCCTCACCCATATAATAATAATAATAATTTATAATGTATGATAATAAGACGGAGGAGTTAGGAAGTCATAAAATGAGTAAGATGGACAAAAAATCAGCTGGGATGAGCCCATCAACTCATTATTATTATAATTAGGAGTTCCTGTACTTAATCCATCATGAGATCATGAATATTATTTTTAAAAAATACTTAAGATAAAAACAGGAAGAAATACACAAAAACCAGAAACTTATTTTTCCTCTTTAAACATAAGCACAAAGTCTAAGTTTCAAAATCAGAGGTTCATTTTTAGTTCTCCCTAACTCACCTTTTATTGCCATTACTGTAACACATCCATCACTTGAATTTTTATTTCAACCTACGCCTTAATGCAAAGCTTTTACAACGGTCATAATATTAATAAAATAAATTCAGCTCTAGCATTTTGATTTGAAAGATTTCCTACTTTTAGCATCTCCTGGAAGTGCTAATGAACAGAAGTTTAGTAACTTTGAGCACCAACATAGTTTTAAACCAAAGATACTTGGAGGAATGTGGATAAGAAAAAAAAAAGGGAAAAAAGACTTTACTTGTAATATAAGAACAACAGTATAACATTAACTTCCTCATTTGGTGTCTTCCAAATATCTTAGGACTGCAGCTACAGAATATTGTTAAGAATTCTGGGAATTGTATTCTACGCATGTTTAAAAGCCATCGAGTTAGGAAAAGCTGGAATAATTAGGTAGCATAGATCTTGTAGCTCAAGCGAAAAGACCGGAAGCTTTTGAAATAACTGTTTTTCATGATGTTTTCACTCAGGAGAAATAGGCTTCATTTAAATGAAATGTCATTTAAGCTAATGAGAACAAGTCTAAAAAGCAATTTAAAAGCACACTCTGTTCTTTCTTAATAGTTGCATATTTGTAAGTCATCCCCATACGAGACGGCAGATCCGTAAAGCAAGAATTTCCTCTGAACATGTAGGCTGTCTCACAACAATCTAAAATTTTGATTTTGTGTGGGCTTCTGATTTGAGGTGACACCTGCATGATGAAGGTTGTCTTCCTCCCATGCCCCAAGATGTAGGCAATGAAGGGGAAAAGTAGATTGAGGTACCATAGCTATAATTCCTTAATCCATGTATCAGATAATATGTTCAGGGACTTTCCTGGACCATGGCATGAAAGAGTTTCCATTCACTGTTGAGCAGAATATAGAAATGGAAAATGGCCTACATTTTCTTGATACACCATTGGGGTCTTCTGTATACGTTTTCTTGTAAGGGACAGGAAGCACACGGCTGGGATATTTTGTGGTGTGTTTTTTTTTCCAGTTATAATTGATGAACCTTTAATTATTACCTGAGTCCTTTCTGTCAAAGGGCTTACTGATCATATGAGACACATTTAAAACAACCAGGGGTGCAGAGCAGGGATTCAATTGGTGACTGACCATCAGGTTTACAGATCTAAGAAACTTGAAACAATTAATACTAAGCTTTATTATCCCATCCCAACATGACCCATCTTTCATTTTCTGTATTCCTTTTAATTATTCTTTAGTCAACAATAATTCAAGTAGACTTCTCATTTTAACACCGGTTGTAATATATCAAGGGAACCTGAAACTTATATTTGCGTGATGGACAGAAAACAGATCCTTTTCTTTAAAATGTCTTTTGATAAGAGGCGAGTTTTTTAAATTGTAGATAAAAGGTTAGTTTTAGTTTTAATTTTGCTGTGTTTGGAAGAGCGAAAGACAGCCAGAAATGAATAGACTTTTTGAACTGACTTTGTTTATTTTTTTACATTATATTGTTTGCTACTTTGGCAAATTAAGTTCAATAAATTTAATTTGTAGAGGAATGTCAAATTTAATTTTGTTTTAATGTCTAAGGTTCATTGAATTGCATTTCTAAGGAATAGAATTGACAAATCATATAATATTGTCCACTGAACATGCATTTGCTTTTTTGGGATAACGAGTAGAATAAGTATGATTCAAATTATGACAAATGTTCCAAGTTTCTCATTTTGAAATGTCAAATTAACAGTGTCTGTATGGACTATTTAACAATAATCTTAAAGTTGGGTGCTTTAACTATTGGCTACTGAATAACATGCTAGGGGTCACATTGAAATTTACTAAAAGAGCTTAAAAATCAAGTTGTCCATTTTCACTTTAACAGCTTTAGTAATAAGTTTAATTAATAGTATTAATCATAGTACTGTTAAAAGCAATAATCCAGTCTGATGATCATCTTCTTTGCTGCTTTATTTTTGAAACATTGTGTATTTTTGTTTTCTAAGATTATTATAATTTGGAGAAACATTTTGTATCAAATAAACTTTCAGCAATAATTGGGATATTGTGTTATTATTTCCTGTGTAGCCTTGTTTGGCATCAATATGGCTGTTAATCATTTTCATTTACTTTCCAGGGAAGAAAACTCCAAAAAAAAATATGTCTTCTCAGATTTTAAAGATGTATGTTTGAAGATGTTGGTGGAAGCTTTACATATTTTTTTGTCTGTTTTAATTCACCTTTTAAGATTTGATTTTTATACACTTAGTAATTTTTGTTTCAGTCCATTGTACCTTTTTATTTTCTATGTTGGAAGCTGCCTTGAATTTTCAGTGTTGTATGGAACATCCGTTCTGTTTCTGGCCAAACTGCCCTTTGTGCCTGTAGCATATTTACATTTCTTTGAAAGCCTCTTTGCTGTTCGTGCTAATTTTATTGCTACAAGAACAAGTTCAGGCTGGTTTGGTGAGATATCAAGCTGCGAGATAAGAGGTAGTCAGCCTTAGGGCACCTTGGCTGAGACCCAAATGATCCTTTATGCAGGATTGTTAGTCATATATACGATTCCAGAGCTTTGTGCTCCAGCCACTAGGTAGTCCCTGATTTTTTGTTTAGTGACTGAAGTTATAACTGCACTCATCATTTTTCACCCTTACCATTGCAGCAACCCCATGGGCACTTGATTAAAACTTGGTGCTTGGCAACTGGTTCATATTTATGACGGTTTCAGTGTCCAAGTGATCACCTTTTGTGACCTGGCAAGCAAAGTCAAGGGGGAAGCCAGATTAATTTAACAACAACGTCATAGGCAGATGACGGCGTGCAAAAGACAGCTTGAGCCCGTTCATATTTAACAACGGGTTTATTGCAGAGAGATAGAGGATAGTTTAGTATTAGAACTGTTAACCTGGAGAGCAGACAAAAGTGACATTAAACAGTGGCACTTTATGATAATTGTATTTGCAAGAGTGATATGCCAAGTTGATAGTAATTATGACAGTTAAGAGGACAAGTAAAATGTTGGACTTAGCTTTGTATCTTAAGGAGGTCACGCTGACATTTCTTGCTGATTATATGACGAGCAGAAGAAGCAAGATTACAAAAGAACTGTCTTTGTAAGGTGGTTTCCTTTTCTGTCTTTAGGCAACATTTGTCATCAATTTCATCCGTCTCACTTCAATATTCACAGATATTGTCTCCAGAAAATACAATAGAATAATTATATATTATTACAAAAGCCAAGTACTGGTCCTTCAGAGAGGCTTCAAGCATGTTCTTGAGAGGGTATCTGGGAAGACGTTGAACCTGTTAGCTCTGAGGAAAAGGACAGGGACCTTGGAAGTGTTAGTTAGGAATAGCAATAGCACTTAGGACTTATATACCGCTTCATAGTGCTTTACAACCCTCTCTAAGCAGTTTACAGAGTCAGCATATTATCCCCAACAATCTGGGTCCTCATTTGATCAACCTTGGAAGGATGGGAGACTCAGTCGACCTTGAGCCGATGAGAATCGAACTGCTGATAGTCAGTATTATTAGCCTGCAGTACTGCATTTTAACCACTGCGCCACCACCACCACGGCTCATCTAGTTTGGCCATCTATGATTTAGATTAGAATCATACTCTTAGTTGGTCAAGCTCTCCCAAGAGGTGAAAATCCATTTTACCTTTAATATCACTGCCAGGTTGGGTGATCTCCTGGTGAATATGAAAATTGTTCATAAAATATATACTTGAAACAGAATATTAAAAATATACTTTGCATTTTCAGACCCCTCCAGGGTGCTTTTCATGTGTCAATCTTCTTCCACTGGGCTTTTAAAAAATATTCTCTATCTCTTGGATTCAAAAGTGGTATACAGTATTTTAACTGGAAAATAATTTATCCACACATATTTTTTCCAGAGAAGTGAATCCTGAGTGCTCACAACATCAAATAGGAGTTCACTGAAGATTTTTCTTTTCTGTACGTGCCTAGTTCCGTTTTTATGAAACTGACAGCATCTTGAAATTTGTAGCATTAATGTACCTATAGGTACTGCATATATTCTTCCTCATCTCCCAAAATGGCCTACAAAAGACAAAACAATAACAACAGAGCAAGCATGATAAAGATCTCTATGATAATTCAAAACCATTTATGTTCACTTAAAAATAACAAGAGAGACAGCCCTCTGTATAATAGCATTTTGAGCTGGAAGAATATTTTTCTTGGAAATGCTTAGATTAACAAGCATTGAGAGCATTTAAATTAAACCAGCAGGGTATATACTTTCTCTGGGAAAGAATTTCATAATGAAGGCGCTAATATTTTGCAGTTGATATATAAGAATTTTGGAATGCTTTTACTTGATGTAACGTTTGCTTAGATGGACAAAATAGCTTGAAAACACAGCTCTGTTCCAATAACGCCCAAAGGCATATTGTCTTCGTTATTTGGATTATACAACGCAAGTGTTAAGTAATGCTAAATAAAAATTCACCAACAAGAGAACTTGTGAAGCGATAGCATCGTTCCTTCCAGCAACTTTAATTTGAATAAATGGTAACCTGTTCAGTCTAAAAAGACTGGAAAGCCATTTGTTTGAAATGGTATAGGGTTTCCTGCCTGAGCAAGGGGTTGGACTAGATGACCTCCAAGACCCCTTCCACCATTATTATTATTATTATTATTATTATTATTATTATTATTATTATTAGTAGTAGTAGTAGTAGTAGTAGTATGAATGAGGATTGAAAGTGAATTGGGCATGTTTACTGGTGAAAGGCAGCTGAAATTCGAAGGGATTGTGCGGGATCGGTAGAACAGAGAAGTTACAAAGCTATTGCTACCTCTTTCTTTGTTTTTATCTGAATAGATTTATAACTTGCTTTTCCACTAAAAATCTTTTTTTTTTCTTTTTTTTCTTCTTCTCAACCACATCACTGTTATTAGGGCTGGGAGAAAGGTTTGACAGTTTGTAACTCATCCTTGTTTATGTCTGGCGCCCATGTTTTGAAAATGCACTTCTACAAAACAGAAAAAAAGACCCAAATGTAAAACAACCACATACAAGGCAAAAACAAAACGATTCCAAAACGTGAACGTGGAAAAGGAAAGCCATTCAAAACCGACAAGGGGACAAAAAAAAAAACGGGGCTTGTGAGAAACGAGACACCCCCGGGGACGAAAAGTGCACGGGGCACGTGTGCATGGCAGAGGCTCTGTGTGTGTTTGCGTGTGGGAGGGGAAGACAGACACATGTGCGTGCCTCACACAGCCTTCTGTCGTGTGTATAAAGCAACGCAAGCCCCCCCCCCCACAGCTACACAACAGCTTCAACACACAACACCCCCTCCCGCTTCAGCCGGGGTTCGGCCAGGCCGCGCGGCCTACTCCCCCTCAGCAGCGGCGGCGGGAGGGCGGGCGGAGGGCGGCGCGAGCTGACGCGCCAGGCCGCGGCGCTGTTGCTGCCGCCGGCCCAGTCGCACAATTATGAGAAGGAGCCGCCAGGCCGCTCCTGCCCTCCTCGCCGCTGCCGCTGCCGCCGCCGCTCTGGAGCCCCAGCCGGAGCCTGCCGCGAGCCGTGCCCGCTGCCTCGGCGGCCGCCCCCTCCACAGCCTCCCGCCACGGCGGCGGCCTTCTGGCGGGGAGACGCCGCCGCCCGCGCCCGGCCGCCCCGGCCTCGCGCCGCTGCCGGGCTCGGCGCCCATAGATGGAGACAGGCCCCGCCGCCGCCGGAGCCGAAGCCCGAGCCGGAGCCGCCCGGCGTGAGCAAAGCCAGAGCCGCCAGCCACCAGACAGCCCCGCCGCCGCCGCCCGACGCCCCTGAGGAGGATGGTGAGGCCTCCAGGCCGGCCTCGATCCGCGGCAGCAGCATTAGCAACCGGGCGGGGGCGGGTTGAAATTGAGGAGACCCGTGTTTGGGATGGGGAACGTGGGAACGGCGCCCCGCGTGCACGCCGCCGCGGTTGCCCAACTTGCCTCCTTCCGCTCCCCTCGGACTTCCCCGTCCCGCAGATTGGGCCCCATATGGGAACTGTAGTCCAGGAAGGGAGAGGTGGGCGATGGGGGGAATGGGATGCATTGGGGTCTGTTAGCAGTTAATGAATTCATTTTGTTTTAAAACAGCATCTGTTTCTATATAACGCACCACTAAATAACGCATCTATTAAGGTTGCTCCTTCCCTTGGAAAGAGCAGGGGGAAAGAGGTAGCAGCCCCCTTTTCCAAGGCATCAGGTCTCCCCTTGCCCTTTTTTACTGCTTGAATTGGGCTTGGCAGGCTGGGCCAACCTTGGCAATGGGGTTACCTGCAGGAAATAGGGTTTAATTTGCAATGTGCCGGTGCCTCCAGGGAATAGTCCTGGATGCCACCTGGTCCTGGGGTTGGGTGGCCACATGAGCAGTGGAACCGATTGGGAGCTCTGGGTGCCGATCATGTTAGATTAGGTAGATGTGTGGTCTAATATATCCAGGTTTTCCTGATGTCAACAATTCAGAAACCCATTATTATTATTATTATTATTATTATTATTTTATTTATTTATTTATTATTGTGGATCATCGCACAGTCAGCCAGATGTTCAGACTGGATTTGGCATTTTGTCTACCTATCCAGTCCTTACCCAGGACCTGGGATAGGCAGATGTGGATGTTTGATGGTATTACAGGTATCGTTGCAGGATGCAAGCAGTTCCTAGTAAGGCCGCCTTTTGCAATTGACTAATAGCGAATTTGTCAATGCCAGTGGTGTTCAAGTGGTGCTCCAGTTGTTTTGGGATTGCACCCAAGGAGTCTATGACTATTGGTACTACCCTTGCTTGCTTTTGCCACAGTCTTTCTATTTCTATTTGTAGGTCTTTGTATTTTGTTATCTTCTCCAGTTCTTTCTCGTCTATTCTGCTGTCTCCAGGCACTGCCACGTCCACTATCCAGACTTTTTTGTTTTTCTTATCGACAATTGTTAAGTTGTTGTTGTTGTTGTTGTTATTTTAAATAGAACATTCCCATTGCGAAACACACTGCGAAACACAACTTGGTCCTTGGTGTCATCTGAGCCCTGCTAACACTTAACTTTCAT